GAGGAAACAGACCAAGAAGAAATCAGAACAGGGGTAACAGAAGTTTGTTCTGGGCTGTTCCAGAAAACTTTTACTATTCACAAAATGACCGATTCTGCATTTGGGTGATTTGACCCATTGCCAAATTCTTCTGCTTTCCATGGGGTGCTCAGATGGAACAAGAAACGGGGGGCGAGATGTGATCCATGGTGCTAGAGGGGGGTTGGAAGCCAGATGCTCCAGAGCAGCTTTGTTCTGATGTGCAGCCCTACAGCTCACATCTCAGGACTGAGACGCTGCCTCAGCTGCAGCTGGCAGAGGGTCCTGGGCTGTGGGCCAAGCCCACGCCAAGAGGGCACAGATGTGGTGCGGCACCATCTGGGCAAGGTGGGCTGCAGCTCCCTGCACAGCACAGGCTTGAGGCAGCACCCAGCTGCCCCGAGGAGCTGCCTGCATCCTGTATATGGAGCAGGGAATGGGCCACAAAAAGTTCCGTCCCCTCCCTATGCTCTCTCAGCAGGCTGGGGTCACTCCTTGCTGTGCTCCCATCCGTTGCAGTTTGAGCTCGGGTCCAGCTGCTGCATGCTTGAGCTCCGAACTGAACCGAAAAAGCAATCTAAAGCCACGCATTTGCTCCTCCCCATCTCATACCACCCGGCTGGCTCTGGAGCTGCTCCTCTCTAAGCTGCCTTGACAGCCGTGTAAGACCTCTCTTCTGCAGGCTCTTTAACCCAGAATATCTTCTTTGCTCAGTTACTGCCAGCACAGGCAGAGGAAGTCGTTGTGCATTCACTGCTTGGGCTCACTCTCACCATTGCTCTGCCGTGTCTCTGCAGCCCACACCAACCCAGCAGGGATTTTGGAGCAGGGCTGTTTGTCTGCATTAGCCCCCAATGGGAGCCGTGGGGTGGCAGAGCTGGCAGCAGCGCTGTCAGTCCGCGGCACGTTGTGCTCATTTCTCTGCAAGGACAGTGGTGGAGCAGCTGAGCAGCTGTGGGGCCACGGGAGGTGGAGTTCCTTCTGCCCACGCAGGGAATGGTGAGAGCTCCCTCAGCCCGGAATTATATATGGGTTTTGGTCCCCAGAGGGTTTTTGTGGGCAATTTTATTTCAGATCCAAAGAATCATTTGGCTGAAAACAAAAAAGGCCTGGCTCTGTGCTGGGTGCAGGAGAACTGCTCTGAGGCACTGCCAAGGCAGGGGGATACGGAGCTCCGCCGCAGTTGGGCTCACCGTGGCACTGAACTCCCCAGACGTATTTCCATTTGTTATCTCCAGG